GGGGGAGGTGGAGGAGGCCGCGCGCCGTGTAGCCTGATTGCGCTACTTCGAGGTTCTGGTATTACTCAGGTCACAGGTATTGAGGCGCAAGTGGCCTCCGCACACAAGCACACTCGCACACACGCACACACACACACACACACACACACACGCACGCACACACACACAGAGGCGCGCGCTCGCCGACGCTTTGAGTCCATTTACCATGGGATTGCAATCAAAAGGCAGCAGTCATTGGAAATGATTCAGAGCGGCGCCGGCACGTCCTGTCTCTATTAGCGAGCCGGCTGTCCCGCCGAGCGGCCGGCTTAGGACTCTGCTGCCGATGCTACCGCGTGGCCTTCCTTTTTTGGGGCTTCTCTTCATTTACTTAATGAACTTGATTACAACGTTCTCGGATGGCACTTTTAAAGTTGATCCGCGTGTGTTCCGTAGCAGTGCGGTGATGTAGCTTCCAGCCTCACCAGGCGGCTACTTTCGGCGGATGGGGATTCTCTGCACATGTGAAATACCATTTTTGCTGCACTCTTTCTCAATTTTCCTTTAAAAAAAATTACAAAAACCCTTCTAAAGAAGGCATTCCAGTGACTGAGCGCAGAGGCTGCCGAGAATGCCCCTCGGGAGGACTCGGCTCAGGGGTGGAAGGAGGATAGGCTCTGGTCGTCCTTGGAGTTACGACCCTCGCCTGGCATTTGCATGGCCCGGCCCAGTGTGATGAATAGTTTACAAGGCTAACAAGCCTCGCAGGCACACGCAAGGTTTTTCCTCCCTTGATTTGTTTCTAATCAAATCATTTCCTTTTCTTCGTCGTCCGGCGACGCAACCACTTCTCTTGAGCAGAGGCACACGGGGGTAACGACGCGCAAGCTTCCAGCGGCTGCTCAGCCCAACCGGCGGCAGCGGCCTTTCGGCGCGTTCTTCTTGTTAGTGCAGAAGTGGGTGACCATGTCCAGGCTGCCCTAGCCAGACAGACCAGCCCGGCAGCTCCGCCGCTCCGTCGCTACTTTCTTTCCTCATCTTGCGAAAAACACGCGCCGAGCGGCCGCCTTTTCGCCAAATGCCTCACGCAGCCCCAATTACATCGGGGCGCGCGCGCGCGCGTGACCCGCACACATCGCGGGATGAAACATTCAGCGGGTGGCGCGCCGCGGCGGTCCCCTCACAGCCACCCGGAATATCAAAGTATGTGGGTCAGGCTGGCTCCAAGGCCGCGGCCTCCGACAGCACGTCGCCGACGCAAGGGGATCATACCGCGGCCCTGCGGCCTCTGCATCTTCGGCGTGCATCGACTTCATTTCGAGCGGCCGATCGCACTGCAGGCTCCGAGCAGGACGAACGCAAGACGCGCCGCATTCAAACGTTTGCGATGATGCATTGCAGTCGTTTTTAATCCCCTTATACGGACGAACAGGTTGCGGACGCCGCGCTCAGCTGAGTTAGCTGATCGAGTGCGTTATACGGCGCGCAGCCCAAGCCAAGCCCGTTACAAGCGCAACTTATTTTGATGGCGATCATTTTCGCAGCGCATTTTGTAGCAGTTTAATAGGTTGGCCGGCCGGGGATGGAGGTCAGTCGATGTAAAAATGATTGCGGTCTGGGCGTGGCGCGGCGGGGCGTGGCGGGGCGAGGCGGGGCGTGGCGGAGCGAAGGTGCCGCGCCGGGAGCGGGGTGCAAGGCGGGGTGACGAATAAGTTATACGTAGTTAAAAGGGGATTACGTGCAGTTAATTACGCAAACGCCGGTATAATTGGGATCCCCTGCTCTGCTGCACGTACTTGTTCGAAATTTCTCACAAAGGCGCGT